TAGGATATCTCGATGGTCCTCTGCAATAACAAAAACGAAACTCAGAACTCAAAAAACTCGTCTCCAATCCTTGCCTAATCCATGTTTATATCCAGACTAAATCTTCATAAAGCAGTCAGTCAGATTTAGTAAGGATTAGATACGGATTAAATACATCAGGGGGGTTTTTTTTTTTGAGTTGCGTCGTTATTGCAGAAGGCCATCGGTGTAAAATTAAGCGTTGTATTATCATTCTAAATTTCACTTCATTGCCATCATTTTATAAGATTGTAAATTGAGATAAATAGAAACGGAGTAGCAACATGAAGACGACTTTCTGCGATTGAATGCAATGTTGCGGCAGATTTTCTTTCCGAACTTCATATCCAAACGAAAACGTACAGGTATCTAATTTGTCATCCTCACTTGTACAGCTAACTAATTCTATTTTCATATTAAGTTTTTGTTTTAAGGCTGTTTATGCAGCTGTTGGTTATTAGCAGCTTAACTAGCTCAAACACGGTGCGAAGAGCGAACATTTGCTTGCAGCTCACGTCTAAACCAAAAGTGTCACTGCCACTGCCGCGACTTTACAAGAATATGAGGTACAATGCCGTTTTTATTTAATATTTGAAATTCCAAAAGGCACGCTAAATAATATTGATGTAAGTCAAAGATAAAGTGTTTACAAAATCTTTAACATAATACCTCAAACACAAAGTAAAACTATTTGCAGCAAGACACTCCGTTAATGCTGTGTTTGGAACATTGCAAGGATTAAAATTTGTATACCGCCAAATCGTCTTCAAGTAAGCTTTCCAGCAAGATAAGATAGTTGAAAACTTATGTCGCTTATGTCGGGAAGCTGGCTTTAGTATAATGCGGCATACCATTCGCTTTATTCTTTAAACAACAAGCAATTTTTTGATGAGACTCAATAAGAATATTGACTTGCTAGTATCTCGCACGTTTATTTGCCAAAAGTTCTTCAACGGCTCGGCGCCAGTGCGTCATTCGCAATCGTATGCTGCGAATGCCGCATTATACTAAAGCCAGCCTTTCGACATAAGCTACTGTTCCATACGAACACCGACATGATTTAGATACATATGTTACTGCATGCATACATACATACATACATATGCAGTTATTAGTTAGTTATTTGGGTAGTTATTGAATACTGAGTTTCTACGCTATTACCTTTACTCTCAATTTACTTGACTGCTTAATTTCAACATCCTGAAATCTGAAACTATTCACGCGTGTGCATTTTTTTTTTTATAAATTGGGGCATTACTCTGTGCAAAAGGCTGAAATTCCGAGCATTTCACTTGCGGCAAGTCCAACCAATACTTATTCCAGACACTACCTCTGCATTTGTGCATGAAGGTCACACACTTAATGGATGGTCTACAGCGGACGCAAGTAGTGCAGAGCAAAACCACTATTTTCCCTCTTTCCGTTGAACATAGATATGCATACATATACAAACATACATATTTACACATGCATGTACAAGTACTAGTGGATTCGTGCTCTGCATGACATTATCGCCAGTGCATACGTACATACATACATATACATGCAATGCCGTTAAAAATAGCACTGCGCTGCCAATACAAATATTTATTTATGGTTAAAATCAAAGACTATATACATATATCAAGGTATCCATCCAGCTGTGTACATAGTAGTTATGTATGAATATCCTTGTATCAAATAGTTTAGTTATCAGTTCGAGTTTAATTGGAAATGTTTATTTAGACATTGGTTTGAGAGTTAAGTACAAGCTGGCAATCCAAAATGTCGAAAATCTCAAAAGCTCAAAAATATCTTGGCCGGTATATTTTGCTATGTTTAGGCTGCAATTTGCAGATATATGTAGTAATATTATGCTTCCATTCCAGTCAACGTGGAACTTAAACGTTATGAGTGCATGCACGTTGTTATTCTGGCAATAACTCAGGTGAAAATTTAATGGGTCATGCTCATAACCAGGGAACGGATTTTATGGAAATTGCCTTTTTTTCTGCTAAAGAGATAGAGTATATTCGATTAAGAATGTCCACGATTTAGCTTTCCCTGATTCCATGTATACACATTTGATGTTGCCTTTTTTGCCTTTTTTAAGATATTTGCCTTTTTTTGCCTTTTTTAAGATATTTGCCTTTTTTTTTGCCTTTTCTACCTTTAAAAAAGTGATTATAGCATTTACAATTTTTTTTTTAAGATTAAAAAATATACACATTGCCCATGCGGCTTATAGAAGCGCAGGGACCTCTTGCCAAATTGGTGTTGGAAAAATTCAAAGCCGTTTTCTCAGCTAACGTAGGCTTGAAGACAATAAGGGGTCTGTATAAAATTGTAAAGGGCGAGGAAAACGCCCTTATTTCTGATAATATGAACGTTTCAAACGTTCCATATTTAAATTGGGCTCCACTTGTATCAACTTACCTCGAGTGCACATTTAGTACATTCAAGGCTTTTCTTCGCGAAAATCGAAAGAAACTGCTGCCAGAAGACTTCAAAATGCATCTTGTGGTTCAATGTTACTACAACTATACAGATTAAAGTTTTATGAGTTAGAAACTTGAAAGGATAAAATAGTCAAAGAGTCAAAGTACAAATTTTTCATATAATGAAACTAGTTCATAGTTTTTCTCTTTTTTACTTGTAATATAAAAATTTTTAAAATAAATATATTTTTTGATTGTTCTTCGTATTTTCTGTCTTTTTTTAGTGCCTTATTTTGCTTTTTTGGCAATACCTTTTTTTTTGCCTTTTCCTGCCTTTTTCGCTATTTTATTTTGCCTTTTCCAGCCTTTTTCGTTACTTTATTTTGCCTTTTTTATAGGTTTTTAGGTCCTAAAAATCCGTTCCCTGCTCATAACTTATTCCCGGGTGCCGCCTAAATCTGCTTCTCCATTCATGACTCCGTCGCAAAAGAATTAACTACAGAATAATATTAAAAGATTAAAAAAAGAGTAACAGTTGCTATGTCCGCTGCTGCCTTAAATTAAAGAAATTACGCTTATCACATTTTTAGTTAACAGAAATTTACTGTGCATTTGTGCATATGAATGTATCTACATGCATATATATCTATATATATTACGTATAGATGGGCCAGAACAAAAGACTTAAGAAGCAAACTTTTTGTTAATTTATTCAATTCCTCATTGCATACTTTTTATATATGTATATATGTATGTATTTAGTACTTCATATAAAATAGTCAAACTTGAATTTTATTAGCTAACATTATACTCACTAAAAACTTAATTTCATTATATAAAACCGATCTTTGTGTTATTTACGATTCTCTGCCGATGCAGAACATATAAAAAAAAATAAAAATTATAACAAATATGCATATTAACTATACCGCAAGTCACTTTCTCTTAATTTCACCCTTTCTCTTTTCCACCATTGCGGACTCTTTCGTTTCAAAGAATTAAAAATGCCGAAAGTAAGTAATAAAAAATAAAGCACAAAATGTCAACATTAAGGCTACAGCATTCATACTACGAGTACGTAGCTCAGAGTGGGCTAGTTTTGTGTGGCGTGACTTCGGGACTTCATTTGTCTATCTATGCATTGTAAGAGACAACCAGCTGGCCAGAGAAATGATATAAACTCGCCCTGATGGTCGCGCATAAGCGCAGTTCAAGTTAAGACGCGACCGAAGTTGGTTGTAGATCTTTTTTGTTTTTTGTTTTCCCCTTCACTGGTGTATTCCATGTAAATTATTATTTTAAGTGACAAAGTGACATTCGGCATAAATTCATCTCATCAAGTGGCAAAATAAGTGGCAACAAATATCGACAAAGAATTTTGACAACTATATATATATGTAAATATGGAGATTGTAAGTTTCGATAGTTTTTCTTTATTCTTTGGGTGTAAATATTTACGATGAATATAAAAAATAAGAAATAATTTTTTTTTTGGCTGTAACCCAATTCTTTGGCTTTCATAAAAGCCGACTACTTCAACGAGTGCAAGGTTATGTTTTACAAGTACCTGTGTACCTGTGTGTCTGTGTTGATTGTGCAGCATTTGTGTGTTTGTTTAGCATTTAAATTAAAACAACAGACAAGCATGCCAGCGACCTGCCAGCGTCTAAATGCTGGGCAAGTGTTCGCTAAATCATTCTAATTGGCTTTCACTTGTCATAAATAAGTACAAACTGGCAATTAAGTTCTGGTTTTTTT